CTGTATAAAAAAAGGAGAAATACAAATGGCTGAGAAACACAAGAAAAGATTTTCAATCTAATTAGTAATTTGAGAAATGCAAATGAAACCATCAGATTCACACAAACACAGAGACTCATAATATGCAGTCTTGGCAAAGGAGTGGAAAAAATAGGCACCTTCGTAAGTAACTGGAGGGAGTATAATTTGGTACATTTTTTGTGGAGAAAGTAATTTGTCAATATCTATTAAAATATTAAATGTGCATACCATCCAACATGCAATTCCACTTGGTATATATCCTAGAAATATGCTCAAATAAATAAACGATAAAATACATACAAGGATTTTCATTACATTGTTGTGTGTAATCATGTGATGAAAAGCTTAAAACAACCTAAATGTCAAAGACTCAAGGTTTAATAACCTATAGTAAAACTATACTATGTCAAAAATTCTACAAGCCCAGATGGGTGTGGCTCAGCGGTTGAGCATCGACCTAGGATCCAGGCGATCGGGGTTCAAGTCACGCTCAGGGCACATGCCCGGGTTGCGGGCTCGATCAACGACTCTCTCATCATTGATGTTTCTATCTCTCTCTCTCCCTCTCCCTTCCTCTCTCTGAAATCAATAAAGATATATTAAAAAAAAAAATTCTACAAAACAGAATTTATTTCTAGATGTAGTACATGTATAAAAATAAATACACAGAGAAACAAACCAACAAAATATATGGAGTTATAATCCATCTTCCCAGCAGCTTGGGGCCAAGGGGTGGGAGGTGGGGAAACGGAAAGCAAATTTGGGACCTTACTTTCAGACACGTTATCAGTTCAGCCTATGTGATATTACAGAGATCTTTCACTAAATAGGAAAAACTATTCTTCCAAACCATTGTCCCATTCATAAAGGAGCAAGGCCACAGAAGACTAAAACAAAACCTTATATGATGCAATGGTAATTCCATAGTTTGTCAAGCCAGGTTTAATAGAAAGTGAAGAAAATCCAGCAGAATCATTTTAAAAGTTTATCTGACTCGGTAGCTTGGTAGCTTGTTGATTTTTTTATACTTACAGACTCACATCTGTACGTCTTTTATTTTATTTTCTTTCTCTACTGCACTGGCGAGGACTTCCAGTACTGTGTCTGATTATAGTAAGAGTTGTAAGAACACCCTTGCCTTGATCCTGTTCTGAGGGGAAAGCATTCAGTTTATCACCATTAAGTGTGACGCTCATGTAAACTTGCTTAGCTTTCAGTCTTGGCCAAGTATTAAAGAGCAAGCTCTCTGAATATGAAATGTAATAAAATTCAGATATCAGAGTAGGGAGAAGCTGTGTCATTTTTGCCCACTCATTGTCTACCCGCCTTCCTCAGAGAGCAATGCTTTGGTTTTCCCCGCACGGGAAGTGAACCTTTCCCCAACATTTATGCAGTTCTAGTGTAGAGCAAGTGAGTCAGAAATGGTTAATTCATCTATCCCACCCTCTAGTCCAAGCATCTCACTCATTAAAATGCAAATATGAGACTTCTTTGAAATTACATAAGCTCTCTTTCAACTAGACTTACAGATCAGAGATGAACAAACGATGGCCCATGACTGAAATCTGGTTTTCTACATGTTTTCTGGAAGTAAAGTTTTATTAAAACAGAGCCACACCCATTCATTTACATATTATCCATGGCTGCTTTAAACTACAATAACGACGCTGAGTAGCTGCAAAACCTAAAATATTTACTATCTTACAGTAAAGAGTTTCCTGACCCCTGTTCTGGATAATAAGATGTAAGCCTGGAACAGTTAGGAAGCATATCAACATTACATGGAAAGAACCCGCTGGAAATGAAGTCAACACAATAGAAGAAACTAACTCCAAATATCATGGAAGTTTGCAGATTCAGGTGGGTCAGAACTGTTAGGCTGCAATATTTTCCAGTTATGGAAGCCAATCAATCCACCAGGCAAGTTTGAATTGGGTTTCCATCATTTGAATTCCAATTCACTTCATAGATAAAATCAATAATGCTCATTGCAGGAACACAACTAATCTCTCCCTCCATTATCTATCCATCAATACCATAAAGACATTCAACATTTCTTCAGTCTAGAATGTCACTGAGTATTAAAAACTATACTTTATGGAATGATTAGCTAAAATATTGTAAAACCAACTGATCTGGGGTTCGTTAAGGGTGTGGGGTTTTTTTTAACCAACCACCCTGGGGTGTTTTTGAACAATGAAAGAACAAAAAGGATGGGAACCAAAATTATCCCCTCCCCCAAATCCAACAACTGAAGAATCAATCACAGATTAATTAGCATTTAAGTATAAAAACAAAAGATAGGTGCCACCACTAACACCTCCCTGAATTAAGGAGAACACTCTGAAACCAGCTAGGAAAAAAAGGTGTCTATTCCCTTACCAAAGCCCAAATGCCCAAGAGAACAGATTTAACTAATTAGGGAAATGGTGATTAAAACTGGAGCTTCTAATTGTCTACTGGTAGTATGTCACCAGTAATGCTCCCTACAGGCTCTCAGCAATGCGAGACAAAATTAAGCCTAATATTCCCGCCAATTACACAATCACCACTCGTCTGTATTTATCTCTCTCTTTAGGGAACTAGAAAGCACAAAGAGGTATGGTTTTAAATGCAAGCGATATGCTCATGTGAGAAAATAATTTTATATTATGTTTAGAAACACAATTATTTTGTTTCAACTCGTTTTAATGTGTACATTCTGGAGCAAGGTGTTTCTTTCAACAGCTTTTCCATCTGCAGAGGCCAGATGTTAATCTACAGGAAAACTGAAGTGATTAGAAAGACCAATTATATACAAATATCAAGTGGCGGGGAGAGGGAGGAGAGAGAAGCTTAAAATGGAGTTGGTAAAGCAGTTTTAAAACTCCGGCTTATTGGAGGCAGAACCAAAGCAAACCTGTTTAGCAACAACAGAACAACCCACCAGTAGCAGTGGGCTTTTTAACCATGCTAAGAATAGTATGCACTGACGGGATTTTTCTTCCTGGGTATTTCCTCCCCTACAAGTTGAAAATGATTCGAGAGAGTCAGAGAAAGTATAAAAAGGAACTGAGGATTCTTAGAAGGAAGTTGACATTTTATCTCTACTAAAGATGAGAATCGAATTTATGTTGAAGGTTAGATATGCGTTCAGTTCGAGCTTCGCTGCTGTGGTGGAGACTTTTAACCACCCGCCACACTCTCTCCCTCCTTGAAGTGGTAAGATGCCCCGGGGCCCGGCTGGGCCATGGCTGCTTATGCACAGCCTGGATTTCCCATCTGCCGTTGCAGACAGATGTGGCCATATAATCCTGCGTGGGCCAGTGGAGGTGATGTGTGCACCTTCCAGGTCCTGGGTATTTTCCTCTCCATTATCTAGCTGGAAAATGGCAATGGCTGGAACACCCTGGGAAGCCATGGTAGAGGATAGCAGGATGGTTGGGCCAACCATGGCCTGCCACCGAATTGTAACCATCTACTCAAGGTAGCCACTGTACTTCAGAGTCTCTTTGTTATAGCAACCAAGCCTGTATCCTACTAATATCGCTACTTAAATCTGTACAACTTGGGACCAGGGATTTAACCTGTTTCCTCATCTGTGAAATGGAATTATAATATTTATTTTGTACAGTACTAAGAGAAATAAATGGGTTAAGAGGGTGCCATATCTGTGCCTTACACACTGAAAAGTGCTCATCTAATGGTAGATGATAACAGCAAAGATAAAGGACTAGTTAGGAAGCTGCTTTCAAAGGCCTCTGATATCAAGCAGCTATTGCGCCCATAAAGCCCTAAAGGTAGAAAAGTGTATCTGCTTTTGAGACAGTTTCTATCAATAACAACATATTGAGAGGAAACCAGGAATATCTTATACTTTAGCCCAGGAGAAGAATTCAGATTAAATAATGTTTAATTAGGGTTTAGCACATTGTTCCAAAATCTTTAAATAATTCTTTAAATCATGCTCTCTATTACTGGATGTTATGCAAATACTAGTTATTTGTTTATGCTTAGTTGAGTTCCATATTTATATAAAAAATAGCTAAGTAGAAAGGTGCATTAATCAATACAGATCACCTAACCAGGGTAGGCTAAGAAAGAGACACATAAATGAACTGGAATCCCCTACACTGGACACCCAGTTAACACAAAGAGCTCTACAGTTAATAAAGGCCATGGCCTGATATCCCCTGCACACATTTCCCCCCTCTGGATAATGCTTTTGCAAGTAACAATTATTGGCCCTCTGGCAGTGTGGATTCTTTTTATCTGTTACTGGTGGGACATGGTTAAACTGTCCTCTGAGGATTCTGCAACCTTGCCATTTGCTGAACGCTGGGGTTGATATCCTTGGCATCAAGATAAGATGACTACTCTGACTCTAGGGACTTCCACAGGGCTCTTATGTGGGTTTTACATGTCACAAGATGTAGGAAAACCACAAGATTACCTCACCCAGCAGAGGCCAGCATCTCTGAAATGGGAGCAGGGACCACATTACCAGACTTAACCCCTTCCATCCACCCTGATAATCCCACTGTGTATAATGGAATCTTGGCTACCATAGCAAGGGGGAGCTGAACCACAAGGGGGTGAGAAAAGGTGCTGCATAACTGTATACACTTTTATAATCATTTACCCCATTAAAATGGGGTTGAAATTATGCTTTGCATCCTACTTCATGGAGGTATCAATAAATATTCAGAAAGCCAAACTGGACTCTCCCTCCTGAGACCGGGGTGCTGCTCTGCCTCAGCGAAGCGGAGTTCTGGTACAGTGTCATGCAGAACCCACACCTCAGACAGAGGCTGAAGCTCAGGCACGGCCCCCACGCAGAGGCAAGATCAACATCAACGCACGCCAGCCCACGAGTGAAACACGCCCTCTGGTACACTGGTCTCGAGACCCCCAAGGCTTTGGAGCGAGAGCAACAATCTAGGGAGGCAACAAACAACTCAGGCCTTTATTCCTGCTCTACTTCCCTGAATTGTACTCACAGGCTCCCGGCCGTCCATGGCTTCCATCCAGAGCCTCCGGTCCTCCTCCGACAGTGCCTGCATGGTGATAACCCCTGGCCTGTGGAGAAAGGAAGACACGGCGATGAACCAGGTAGAGGGAGCCTGACAAGGTAAGCCTTAAAGAAACACACGCGCGACAGAGTGAGGGGTCCCTAGAGCTATACAGGAGGAGAGGCACGCCCCTCGGCCTCTCTGAGCCATCTTCCAGTCTCAGAAAGCAAAGGCCTGGTCCCGAATCCCTCTCAATAAGCCCAGGTGCTCCAGGGAGGTAGGAAGAAGCACAGAAGATGGGACTCTACTTACAGATAAAGGACACAGATAAGTCAAGTGAGGCCTTTAGACCTTGTTTCTTCCCTGAGATCTTACTCATTCCTGTTCTCTAAAATGCTTAACAGAGGGCTTTGCTCCCAGTCCGAGCGCATTAAAGATGTACTGAAGTGAATGGAATCACTGGACTGGAGATAAAAAGGGGAGGAAGCATCCAAGCTGGAGAAATTCTGGTCTCCTAATAAGAGCTGGTCCAATGCTTCTAAACTGCTTTTGACATGGAGAAGTTTTACGGAGGTAATCAGCTTTGTAATGAATACACTGAATATATATAGTATTGTTAAGTGACTTCTTGCCATGTCAGGTGCTAAGGTCGTTACACACACTTGCTCTTTCAACCCTCTCACGGACACTGGTGCGCTCCTTCAAGCTGAGCACAAACCCTCCAGAAAGCGCACGCACGGGGTCAGCGGTGCTCGTGGAGGTCACACTACCGACGGCGCCCCACCAGGAGACTCGGGCCGTAAACACGAACCTGGGGAGTCTGTGCTCCTTAAAGCAGTCCTTTACTTAGGGCCCACAGGTGGGTCCCAGGGAGTTCAGAAGCCACTTTCCCCCTCTAAATGTCTGCGTATTTTTCTGTAGAAATAATTCAAACTATCAGATTCCCAAAGAAGACTGCTACCCTCAAAAAGTTAAGGACTGCTAACATAAACACTCATCCTTAAAGTCTGAGAAAGAGGAGGGAGAACCCCAGGAGGAAAAGGTGCCCTGTGCAAGGATGAAATCCTGTTGCTGTCTCAGTCCACAGCACTGCTGAGGGTCACAAAGCAGCACAAAACGGGGGCACACGGGGCTCTGCCATACCCTGAGCACCACCAGCCCAGCCCCGCAGCACCAAAGCCTGTTCATTCAGCCCACCAGTGATCACTGCTCCTGGCTTATTCACAGGGCTCCAGTGAATATGCTAGACCTATTTATGTTGAACATATTTTAAATATCACATATGCTTCTTTTCACTGATCACCTCTCAACATCCTCTAAGAGAAAAAGTTTTCAAAGATACGAACATTTAGGTTCAGAGGGGTTGGAGATTTGAGGTGCACTGGTGTGAGGGTGTGAATCTGGGAGGTCATGAATGAGAGAGAGAGAGTGTGTGTGTGTGTGTGTGTGTGTGTGTGTGTGTGTGNACACTGGTGTGAGGGTGTGAATCTGGGAGGTCATGAATGAGAGAGAGTGTGTGTGTGTGTGT